TTTTCCCGCGGGTTATCATTTTCAATCCCTCGCGAAACATCCGCATGTATTGGATAATAAACTGAAAACTGAATTTCGCGGAGGTAGCGGTTTTGCGGATGACTTAGTGATGAAAATCCTTCCACTCACATGGCGTAGTCTCCCTTGAACACCAACGCATGTTGCTGGTGCACTAGTGCACGTTTTACAGAGCAACGCCGCCTAAAACATCGTCATTACCATGTTGTCCTCAGAGCCCCATAATGTCAACTTCACCCGAATAACATTACAGGTAGTTAGACTATGAGTTACCTATGTGAGGATAATAACCTTGCCAGATATTCAGAAGTCTATGAGGAATAGCACAGTGCTGGAGTGCCCGGTGTGTATATTGGAGCAGCATTGGGATTTGTGGATTTCTGATGGACATTTTGACTGATGTCTTACATAAATCCTATCCATGGAAAACTTGGTAATAAAGATTATCGACCCGCATATCAAAGTATGCATTTATGATTTACCGTCTTGCGTGGACATTGTTTTGCCACTGGAATATTCGAACAAACACTGATTTTATAAAGAGAAATACCAGGTCAATGTTGTCTTGACTACGAAATTACCGACGTGGTTGACGGAGCTAATGTGGCGGCTGACACTTTGTTGCTTCTTTGAAAGTGGCTGTATATATTCTCAGGTTTCTCCCAGCGTTTCTGGACGCTTGGATTGAAATGCTCGGATTAGACGTGGCTTTGTTTGTGCTGCTTCATTCCGTCTGTCGATACCACCCCTGCAAAGTTTATTGTGACCATCAAAAAATATCTACTGAGATTCTCGGTACTAGTTTGGGAAACCAAACCTAATCGTTTAGCCAGACAGCAGCCTGACGGCTAGTGATAACCTATCGCCCGAATTAGTTGGAAGCATTGTCCCGTGCAACTGCCATTGACGAACCTGCCGGTCAACTCACTGTTATGACCGTGCTGTTTTGAAAGACCCAGAAGTTACTGAAAAGCACACCTCGCAATCTTTCCTATTGGAAATCAGTTGGTTATCAGCCGTCTGCGCTGCTGAGGGCTAGCGAACTTAATTGAAAGCACCTTGATGTTCCACCAAAGGAAAGTACATCTATGAGTTATTTGATTGGTTTTATAAATGCTTTTCAAGTGAAAACGAATGAAGCTTAGTGAGCTTATTGAGTGGCCTTATGGAAGGTAGCTTACACAACATTGGGCCAACTAAACAGCAGGTTAAATTAGAAACAGCTTGGATAAGCATGTCAGGGGAAACAGATGAAACGGACTGATAGCTTTGAAAATGTCCCACTGAATCCTGTAATGATTTCCATCCTGCAAGTGACTAATGTCATTTATTACCAACATGGGGGTTTATAAATGAGGAATGTAGATCTTTTTCGGGGACAGCCACTCACAAATCACGTTTGATGCTCAGCGACACAGAAATAAAGATAATTCTTGAAGCGGGTCGTATGATTAGTCCGGTGGTTTGTAGATACTTGGTTTCGGACGCACTCAGAAAAAGTATTTAATCCCTGGAGACACATGTTTAGTCCGGTGGTTTGTAGATACTTGGTTTCGGACGCACTCAGGCAGACACATGTATATGCTCAACTGTTACTTCGATTTATCTACACGTATTGATGTTTTCTTTTAATTTTAGATGCCGAACAATACGAGACCCTGCGGCACTCAGCCGCCTTCGCTGGCTCCACGCATCATTCGGAGACCGTGAATCATGAACACGCTGTAAAAACAGAGAAGGCAGAGTGCAGTGAACTGCCGTAGCAGTGTCCTAAATGCCGTAAAGTGTTTGAATACAAAAGTTGGCTTAATCGGCACACGTCGCTTTATTCGGATTAGAAGCCATACACTTGTGATTTCTGTGGATTAAAATTCAAAGCACCTCAAACGCAGAGGGCTCATCCGACAGAAAAACAGTTCGACAGAGCGGCAACCATAGAACGCACAGGAATCTCCAAATCGAATTGGAAAATGTATTTATGTCACTAATGCGGTAAAATATTGAGAAATCAAACCGTGTTGGATGAACATGCTGGCGTCCACACGGGGAACGGACGATAAGCATGTGATATGTGCAAAAAGACATATACGAATCCTCCGAGCTTGACGAGGCATAACGGACAATTTCGCCGAGAATCCAGGGAAGTACTGCCAGCCAGTGTCTTTTATCAAATGTGGCGTTGATTTTCCGAATGTACAACAAACACATTAAACGCCCATCAACCAAAACGCACAACAGTGGCTAACACTGATATCAGTTTTTTCGCCGATCGCGATTAAGACCTTGATGAGGACAATGAGGACGAGGAGGAGAATGCGGATGATGATGACGATGACGGTGATGATGGTGATGATGGTGACGGTGATGAGGATAACGACGTCGGTGATGGTGATATGTGACGGCAGCAGATTGGTTGTGTTTGGTCGTTCGCTGAATGTCAGATGCTAGTTACCGTTCAGATCATGAACCTACTAGACATGGGCGCTAAGCAGAATGAAGTGATACGCACTGCCATTTTACATAATGAAAACATGAGAAAAATATCGACAATTCTTGTGGGCTTGCACTTGTAATAATATTTCAACTAGAAAACTTAAGCTTTGGAACATGGTAAAGTTCATCTCACAGGTGAAGGACTGCTTTCGGAAGTTCAGGTTAACTCAATGTTTAAGACTGAACACATTGGCTGACAGTCATTCAGTAGACAATCCACAATTCTTGCAACATTTTTCTTCCTTTATCAGAGTTCTTGGTTAGGCCTGCTCCATTAGAACGACACACGCCATGATTTTCGGTAGGAAAACATCTGCCAATAAACCTATTTTCAGCTGCTATTGCCCACAATTCATGAAACCGGGCATTAGCACACATATTGTGGCCCAGAAAATCGCTTGGTTTTTGATAATTTGCAGGTTTCACTCCTCCTGGTAGTAGGCGCTCTCGACCCGGCGGTATAGACTGGCCCCCGGAAACTCTAGCTAGGTGTTTGTGGACCGTTGAGGCGTTGAGCGTTCATACACGTCACTTGGACGAGTTATGAATTTCAGCTTTCGTAAATCTGTACAATGGTGTCTGAGGGTGTTTATGGCTTTCTTCAGATGTATTTGTCAGGGAGCACGTCCAGTTAAGCACCTGTGTTCCACTTGGCTCCGGACCGCCGGCGTTAGGTAAGCGGATCAGCGGGCCATCTCCTCGACCATATAGTGCTCACTGGATTACCACGGCCAATGTTGTGACCGAAGATGGCCTCTACGATTTTGGCAACCCAAATATGAAGAATGATTCCATTCAAGTTTTCATTCATTTGCGGATAGTCCAGTAAATCTTTAAAAAAAGCCGGAATTCATTTTTGAAAATGTCTGATAATGTGGTTCATGAGGGATGTCTGAAATTACACGAAGGAACTTCAAAAGTAACCCACCACCTGTCTGAGTGGTAAGCACGGTCAACACGTAGGTACACATTTAACGTCCACACACCCCAGTTTAAAATTAGAAGGCATTTGTGTGAATTATAGAAACGGACGTTATTTATTCGAAGCCCTTAAATCGCAAGTTCCTAAAATCCATTTTTGTTACTAATCTTGGGACGCTGCCAGATATAATGCTGTTGATCGATGTCACTCGCGTTCTCGTTGTCAGTCTCTCTCCAGTTTGCCTGAAAGAATGCTTGTGATGTGGTCTCGCATGCTGACTATGGCATCGAAATAGGTCAGACTAGGCCCGGAATCAATTTTGTGTGGGAACTGTTCGGAAGAGGGCCCTGGACAATCATGATTGAATTGTTGTTACCTGAGCAAACGACGGAGTATTATAAAGGAAACACTATTTTTAGACAGTCTGTTTTGTCTTATATCTTTGTCACTGTATACTAAATCTAGCGTTATTATTTTTATTCCTGTGGCACATACTCCAGGTAAAGTGAATTATTGGGTAACCAGACCACTATGTATCATCCAGTAAATCACTCACTGAGGGACGTCACGATGGTAGATGTGTGGATCGGCAGTAGCTGTCGACATTTTCCTCCAGAACAAAATAATCCATCATTCACAAAAGGCACACGGATATCCATAGGCGGAGTTAGTCGCTTGTTACGTGGTGGTATTCGGTCGGTTTCAAGAGCATTGAACCATGATTCAAAACTGGTTATTTCGACGCAATCTAAATGAGAGTATTGTGTTACCAGCTCACAGGCATTCACTCTATCACTTGGAGGTTTTTTGGGTAGCTTGTCGGAAATCCAGAACACGTGTATAATCGAAAGTCTGCTCTGAAGTCAACATTTCGTGCGACAGGAATTATGCGTTATGAAAGTGATTTTTATCAAATGCAATTTGTCCATTCAGTGTTATACACTAACCAATTTCGGACCCTCATAAGATGGTTTTCAACCTGCTGGCAGGTTAGACAACTACACTAGGGTGGATGGCGTCCGATGATGGCTGATATCATGAGAAATATTTGGAAGCTTTGTTGGATGTTCTTTATTATATGCCCAATATTTGAGAATCATTGTCAACCAGTTACATATTTACTGCGAATCACCACCGATGTGCATCTCACGAACTCCAGGCAGTTTGACCCGGACCCATGATGGCCCGGACAGCTGTTTTGGCACTCAACCGTTTGACTGGTCGTCTATATGATTGGCTCTCGCTGCCGCAGGAACTAGCGACACGATTACGGATAATGGGACAGGAAACTAATACTCCCTCATGCCACGTTATTTGTGGATAACAGAATATCCGTTTTCTTATTGAAATTCTCCTGTCGATCTTCCCTGGATAGTCACGGATTATCACACAGTCGTAAACTGCTACTGCAAAGCAGTTCAACAACCTCTGTGATAAACCAACTTCCATTGGATCTAGAAGGAGTTGCAAGATAACGATATGCTATTCGCATTTCCCAGTCAGTGATATTCACTTTAAAAACGTTCCCCCTTTGTTTATCGCTTGCATATCAACGATTTCTAGTTACTTTCTTAAGGTCGGCCCCAGCTGCTGAGCATTTCGGCATTTCTCCGATGTACCATGTCGATTGGGAAGCCGATTCCCGACCGTCTTGAATTGTTAAGGCGTTCGCATTTCGGTCGCCAACAAAAAACTGGAACCATCCATTGACATTGAAGGCTTCGGATGGGCAGAGCACAGACGATGTCACTCCATTTGGTGATGTACCGTTTGCAGTCCAACTGCCAAGTTCCCCAAACAGAACAACAACCATTGATTTGGAATATCAGGTTGGTTCACGATTTGGTTACATTCCGTGACCACGGCCAACGGTGACTTATATGATCGGTACTGTACTCTGCCGATTGCCGACGTGGGAACTCTGTAATTGTATGGTGTTAATTTTCTGGCAACGGGAACTAGCGGGATCGGCCAATATACAGGGGTTCTCACCCGTGATTTATAAATATCCCGATGTACTTTGGTAGATTTTCCGAAGTCTCCAAGCTTGTGAAGGATTATTATTTTGGTCGTCGCTGCAGGCCCTAATGGGTTACTCCGAGAAATCAGTCAGACGTTGGAGATATCGTCAGATTTTCAATCCGGGAGGATAGCCGTTAGCGGTGCACCACAAGATGGATGGTCATTAGGCAGCGCCGCGATAATTGCAAAGTTCGCCGAGATAATTAGTTGATGTAGAAGAAGCAGCACTGCAATTTGGTTGACTGAGAACTGCTGCACAAGCCACCCAATCTTCTCTCCTGTTTGGATAAGGTCTTTGCAGATGTTCCAAAGAATTTCTGTTTCTGCTCAAAAGTGATACAGAAATTCACAGAAATTCAATGGTTAGTTCGCTTTCCCATCATTATTTTTAGAATTTAACGGCTACACATTTCATTGGCATCAATAGGTATTCAGTACAAACTTCGTAAATAGCTGTAGCCAGTAAAATCGTTTGTTCGGGTGAATATCAGGTCACCATAATTTTTTTGCAACACCATATTACTGATAGATTTGGTTGAGTTAGAAGCTAACTCGTTTGTGCTGCAAAAGTAGAACCAACCTTTTGGGTCATTGCTTTCATTTTGTTCATCCCAAATAAACTGAGTGACTTCCAGCTCCGGAAACGTTATCCGAGCAGTCAACTAGTTAGTTGTTCATCGATCACCGCTTACTGCGTTGATTAGTCGGTCTATTATAATTGGTCCTGGACACCTAACGTGCGATGGTAGGTCAGATTTCTGAAAGCGTCTTGATAATGAGGACCTGAGAATCCGGACGATTTTATCTGAATTCCATCGGTTTATGCCGAGCGATTTGTTGACCACCAGTTTGGTGAAAAATGCACCCCATGTCTTTCAACGGTAAAGGTACACGATACGGAACAGTTGCAGTTCATTTTATTTTGGCAGAATCACACAACATAGTGCGTGTCTGATAGGAGCAGACGCTGTGGACAGACTCGATGAGGGTGTGGGCCTCGTATCCGGATTTGCACATCTCCATTAGATGAGCTGTGTGCTCAGCTACCTCTGGGACCTGAAAACGAAGAGATACCATGATCGCAGCTAGGGAACCAGCTCAGGCATGTTAACGAAATATTACCACTCATAGGACGAACCCAGGATCATAAACGCACAGCACAAGTTTGGACGAATGCCTAAGAATGCCAGCAAAGTAACAGGAATAAACGTTCACACAATATTCACTTTAACCTACACCATCAAAATTCAGCATTCCCGAGAAAATTGCCAACAATGTTAAGAGTGGGAAAGTTCTCAGGGATGCACACCAAAGGCTGAGGGGTTACTGGGTCCGAAATTAGAAGAATAGTTACTTGTGAAAGGTGTTGGCGAGTATCAGCATATGTGAACTTCAGACATTTTGAAGTGTCTTGATATGAACTCCTTCACCTTAAGAAGAGAACACGCGACAGTTTTCAGCAACGTGGCAAAAAGTGAGAAAGTGTGAGCTCCACTAAATTGTTCGATTTGAATAACGTCCCAAAAGCGCTTCACAACACTCATTAACAGCGTTGAGCACATGAAACCTTCGTCGCGATTTTCAAATATCTATTCACAAAAACAATCAATCACCATGGCGTGCTAGTCGGTTAAGCACGGCTAGGGGTACACTTATTTTAGCAAAAGCAAAGGGGCCAGCCATTTGAGCTGCGCTATTAAAGTTAACTGAAAAGAAATGAACTGCTTTAAACTGAATTATTCTGAACTGAAATTAGCTTGAATGAAATGAAATGAACCAAACTGATTTGAAAGGAAATGAACTAAACTGAAAGGAAATCGACTGAAGTGAAATGAACTAGAATGAAATTAATGGGCATGAAGAGAACTTGAATGATATTAGAGGAAGTGAACTTAACTAAATGAAATGGGCTAAGATGAACTGTACCGAACTGACCTGAAATCAAATGAAATGAACTAATCTAAATTGAACTGAAATGAACTGACCTGAAATGGACTAAAATGAACTGAACTGAACTGCACTGAACTGAAATGATCTTAATTCGACCTAACTCAACTTTTGGGAACTGAGCTGAACTAAACGTAACAGGTCTGGATTGGCTTGAACTGAACTCAACTGAATTGAAGTGAAGAGATCTCAATTGAACTGGTCTGAGCTGTACTGAACCCAACCTGAATCAACTGAACTGAAATGAAGTGAACAAAACAGAACTGAACTGAACTGGAACAAACGGAACTGAAATGTACTCAGACAACTTATTTCAGCTGTTGTTATTCTTGATGTGATCACTTGTTTACGTCGTGTAATTGGACAACATTTTACCAGAGGACTTGGTGTTGTTCAACATTCCTATTAATCTAAATCACCCTCCATTTTGTATGATTCGCTCTGCCGATAAAGGGCATAGACAAATAGTCGTTCCAAAAACCATCCCACAAACTGTTGAACACCATGTTTGGGAACGAACGTTCAATTTTAAGGAAGGAACCAGGGTGCTGGTGATGTAAGTGACAGAGTTGCTCAGAAATAAACTAAAGTAAAGGTCGTTTACCAGGCGTTTAACTTGGAGTTCTTTGGGACTACTGCTCGTCTTATGTGACACAAAGGATTAACGAATTGGCAACATGTTTGAACACTTCTTTGTGTGCAACAACAATTCAACTCGCCTGCCATGAAGCAAACGGAACTGAAATGTACTCAGACAACTTATTTCAGCTGTTGTTATTCTTGATGTGATCACTTGTTTACGTCGTGTAATTGGACAACATTTTACCAGAGGACTTGGTGTTGTTCAACATTCCTATTAATCTAAATCACCCTCCATTTTGTATGATTCGCTCTGCCGATAAAGGGCATAGACAAATAGTCGTTCCAAAAACCATCCCACAAACTGTTGAACACCATGTTTGGGAACGAACGTTCAATTTTAAGGAAGGAACCAGGGTGCTGGTGATGTAAGTGACAGAGTTGCTCAGAAATAAACTAAAGTAAAGGTCGTTTACCAGGCGTTTAACTTGGAGTTCTTTGGGACTACTGCTCGTCTTATGTGACACAAAGGATTAACGAATTGGCAACATGTTTGAACACTTCTTTGTGTGCAACAACAATTCAACTCGCCTGCCAAATCTTGAAGCAGTGCGTCTCGAAGTGATCGTACACCGTCTCGTAACATATGAGCTCATCCGTCTTGGACAAGTCCTTTACCAATGGCTTCTGGTGGGTTGTCACATCCATGACAATGTTGTCGAACGTTTCCTTGGCGACCTGGCCGAGCTGGAAAAGCCACAGAAATAGTTTGGTGATTACCCAGAGACCGGCCCCATGCATCCTTAAAACGCATCCTCTACTGAACAAATCAACTCTCCACTGGAAACATGTTTTTATCGTACATTCATTTATCTCTTTGGGATAAATTTTGTAAGAAAAATACTGCAAACCTGAAGTGCACGGTGCAGTTTTCGCCAAGCGAATTCGTGTCCTTCCTCAGTTGTGGCCTCCATAAGACGTCGTATCAGTGAAGACAAATGCGTCCGAGATGAGAGTTGTCTACCTACAAAATTCGACTGGAACGAGGAAAACAACTAAAACACATCTGCGGTTAAAAGACTTTCTGCCAATGCTGACTGGGAGAATGAGCTTCCTGGACTAAGGCTATCAATGTTCCCGTCTATCTGTCAATCTGTCTATCCGCGTGTCTATCTATCTATCTAACTATCTATCTATCTGCCCATCTATCTATCTATCTATCGATCTATCTATCTATCTATCTATCTTTCTATCTATCTATCTATCTATCTATCTATCTATCTAT